ACTTCAATTCAGTCTGATTGGATGGATAACATTGGTGAGCATTGGTTTATGAGTCTCACCAAAGAGTTTCAGGTTAACTCTGAAAAGCTTCCCCACAACATGATTCTGCCACCACCATGTTTTACATAGGGGATGTTTGGGATGGATGGACCACAGTTTAGGATTTTTGTCGAACACAATGAGAGCTAGCTGCTCTCTTTGGTCTTTATCATGTCTTCACCAAACTGAGATTAAATCACACAACCCTAATATGATTTAGGATGAAGGATGCGAAATACAAATGCAAAGAAATATTTTTCAGTTTTTAATTGTGAAAGAAAATTATGAATACCATCTTTTTTTTAATTCTACATTTGCATTCCTTAGTGTCCGTCTGCCATGAAATCTTAATAAATACATTGATGTTTGTGGGGATTTTCTCACAGGTTATGAATATTTCTCAAAGACGCTTTAGTCATGCTGCTGGAAACAAACCTTGTAGAAAATAATAGTTTTTCGAAATTCATTTAGAACATTCCTAAAAATAAAAAAAATGTTCAGTGCAGGAAATCTGATGTTGAAACCAGTGACAGAGCTGAATAAATCTATGATTTTGGGATTTACAGCCTGGTGTTCCTCGGTGTACGATGGTAGAGCTGCATAATCTGCCAGCTGTGGCTCAGCCAGCCTGACTGATGTCACAGGACGCCACTGAGTTAAAGTCATTGTCTTAGCGCCAGAGGGAGGAGGCTTATGGAGCAGGGATGTGTTAGTCAGATGCTGCAGTGCTGCAGACTAACATCTGACCACAGCATCGTCCGCCGCTATATTCCTTGATTTGACACGTGCTTTTGATATAATCAACCGTAATGGTCTGCTGGCTAAATTAACTCAGTTTAATTTCTCTTAAATTGCCCTCTGCTGGATGAAATAATAGAAAATAAAAATAAAAAGTTAGATAATTCACAGTCCACATTGCTCACTCTGCTGGAGTCCTACAGGGATCAATACTCAGACCACTTCTTTTTGGACTTTATGCCAATTATTTACCCAGTATCAAAAATCTGTATATTGTTATTCTATGCTGATGCAAAAACTTAAAGTGAAGCTGCTGCTGTTCTCTCCAGCGTTACTATCAGTTTGTCAATGGCTCCAGCAGGCCTGGGCTGGGAGATTTTTTCAGGCCATGAATCAGTCATGTGACCAGGCCACCCTGGTTACATGACAGGTTTCTTAAGTAGTAAAATGAAATGTGGCTGGGATCTGTTTGGCTTTGTGAGGACCCAACTGAAAATTTAAAGCTTTTATCAACCAGAAAGTAAGTTTTTATTATATGTTTGAGGTCACCTTCAGTGTTGACACATCAAACCAAGTAGAGGAACAGCCTGGATGTAGAGAACAGCCTGGGATCAGCTGTTTTTCACAATGAGCTATCAGAGCTCATCAAAGCAGCTGAGGTTTCTTGATGAAAACTAGTGTTGCACCGATACCAGTATTGGACGAGCCCCCGATCCAGCACTAAAATGGTGGTAATACAGTAGTTAACTAGGCGTTTGGCTCTCAAAATGGTATGGGTACCTTATTTGTCAGTACTCACCGATACCATTCTTAGAGCCAAACGTTTATTCAACTATTGTCACTCTTTCCAGGTAGGCAATAAAAAGTTCTACTGGATTCACTTTGTTTTAGTCTTTTTCCTGCTTCACAAAGGTAGGCAGCAGCTTGACAAAGCCATGATGGCAATTATTTTACATCCAAGTAGTATGCAGTTCTTCATATATACACACACATCAATGTCAAAAAGATGGTATTGGTATCGGCTAATACTGCACAGCCAGGTATCAGGTATCATATCGGGGCCAAAAAATGGCATCGGTGCAACACTAATGAAAACAAAGCAAAACTAATTAAGTCAGTCTGGCTATAATTTTTGTTCCCAATTCAATTCCCAGTTTAAATGTGATTATAGGGAAGCTCCATTTTTATAGATACAGGTTTATAATATAATTTTATTTTGTATTAATTTTGATTCCTTACTAACTTCCAGGGAAAATATTTGTTTTTTATTTGTAAAGGAAAGTATAAATGTATTAATATTAATTGCTCAAATGAAAAGATTAAGTAAAATAATCTCTATTTCAGTTATGGTACATTCCACTTTTGGCTAATCATCAATACTTTAGTCTGACTGGGGAACTCATGGTAAAAAAAAAATGCCCGAAGGGGAACACAAGTCAAAAAAGGTTGGGAAACACTGATCTAGAAGGACCTACTATCATTTCTAAGGTTGGAATATACACTAAGTTTACCGCTGTAATAAATCTGTTACTGTTCTGCATTTGGCTGCATCCTCCTCCAGCCAGTGCCTTTCTTTTTTTGTCTCTCTTCCTCTCTGCGCCGCCTTCCCTCTTCCTTTTACTGCATTCTAAGACGGAGTCCTTTACTTCTTATCCTCACTTGCTTCGCTCACTAGCTACACACACCGAAGCAGCCGACACCAGACACACGTCACACACACCTCCCTCCACACTCAGCTGTCTGTGTCCCTCCTCAAATGCTACTGGCCAAAGCGGCGTGGTCTGTCCCTCTCTCTGACAGGCCCACCGTCACTGCACCAGCAGACTTAAAAAAAAGAGAGAGAGACGCAGGCCAATCCCAGGCTGGCGCATTCTGGAATACTCCCGATTCTCCGTATGCCCAGTTTATTTGAATTCAGTTTATTTCTATGGTGCCAATTCACAACACACATCATCTCAAGACACTTTATAATTAAACCAGATCATCCAGTCAAATT